AGGTTCTAGATCTGTTTGGAGTCTACCTCGGAATAATAACCAACTCACGTTCTGCAGTCCATTCTGCCTCTGAATTGCGCATCTCAAAGGGTATGGGCCCGGTGTTTGGACTATTGACCAACTATTTCGCGTTTCCCATTTCAATTGGTGCTTGACATCTTCGTTATAACACGAACACTTCTGCTGGGAACACTGAAATAGAATGGCCACCAGACTACCTCAGCACTCACATTCTTGCGTAATGGTTCTCTTACAACTGCAGTTCAGAGCTAAATCTTGGACACTAAACGAGGTACGTGTTTTCCACAATCAATTGTAACACGGTCACCTGTTTTGAATAAGGCGCGGTGGCTCAAAAACCAAGACAACTGCAACACCGAATATCTTCAAGATGGAATTAGACCGACGATGAAATTTGAGTCGAAGATCCCATGATCCATCATGCGCCTTGCAAATGACCGCTTCCGCCTGATCTTCCGGTATAGAACCAGCTCGGTCTTTCCCCGGAATTCGCGAGGCCAAAAAAATCCATCATACTTACTTAAATGACAGTCGGACTCCCGTCGTCGAGACAGCTTCCATGATGGCGCCCCCACTCATCATACTCGTCGTCTCCCTGTTCATCCACCACGCGGCCGCTCACCTCGTTGCACGCGCCAACCACACGGAGGGACATTGGATCGCGGCTTGGGCGTCCATGCCGCAGCTAACGGAACCAGCGAACCTGCCCCCAGCGCCCTTCAACACGTCCAGCGGTGTATTCACCAACGCCACCCTCCGGCAGACCATCCATGTCACCGCGCCCTCGTCACACATCCGCTTGCGTTTTTCAAACGCCTTTGGCACGACGGATTTGCCCATCACGGCCGTGACCATCGCGCGCCCGCTCAACGGCAGCGCTGGGAGCAGCTCCATCGACACAGGCTCGCTAAAGAACGTGTCATTCAGCGGCTCGACGTCGTTTACAATCCCTAATGGAGCGCTAGTTGTCTCCGACCCCGTCGACCTGGACGTGGAAGCGCAGAGCGAGCTGACGGTAAGTATGTATTTGGCGCGCGGCCAGGCGGGGAACGCGATTACGAGCCATCCCGGAAGCCGCACGACGACGTGGATGACGTTTGGAGACTTGACGCGCGCGCAGAACGTGTCCGGGGGGTCGACAGCGAGTGTAGCGCATTGGTGAGTACGCCAGTTCGTGTTCTACGCCTCATTTTAACCCGAAATTGTAGGTACTTCCTCAGCGCGCTGGAAGCGTGGGTTCCGCCCGCGCATAGCACGTTCGCGATTATTGGGGACAGCATCACAGATGGCCGGGGCAGCGACGATAACAAGAATAACCGCTGGCCTGACCAGCTCCTTGCTCTCCTCCAGTCATCCTCGAATACGTCTATCATCGCCATCGCTAACCAAGCCGCTGGTGGGAACCGCGTCCTCGCTGACATCCTAGGGCCCAACGCCCTCGGCCGCTTCGACCGGGACGTCCTCGCCCAGTCCGGCGTGAAATACGCCATGATATTCGAAGGCGTAAACGACATTGGCGTCGCCGCCTCCACCGATGCGGCACAGCAGGCCATCGGCGACGCGCTTATCGCCGCGTTCAAGCAGCTCAGCATCCGCTCCCGCGCGGCGGGGATACCCTTCTTCGGCGCGACGATAACGCCGTTCTGCGAACCCGGTTGCACGACAAGTATACAACCGTACTCGACGCCGCTGAGGGAGGTGACACGGCAGCGCGTGAATGCATGGATTAGGGATAGCGGGTGGTTTGATGGTGTGGTGGATTTTGACGCTGTGACGAGGGACCCGGCGGATGTGGCTCAGCTGAGGAAGGAGTTTAATTCGGGAGATTATCTGCATCCGAATGTTGCTGGGTATCAAGCGATGGCAGCGGCGTTTCCTGTCGAGTTGTTTGCGCAGTGGAATGGTGGCGTGGATGGATGGGTGTAAGGGACCTATAAAAATCACTCTGATTCTTATATATTTTGTGCTGGAGTAGCTTCACGTGTGGCAACCATCCTAGTTTGAGGGCAAGCTATGCTTGTTTAGGGTTGGAAAAGTGCTGAGCAGGAGGCGGACCGGTAAAGCAGCAGCGTATCGGATCAATTTCCCGACTTAGCCGCATTTGTACCTTTAGCCAACCTTTCGCCGACCACCATAACATTCGTGATGTTGCTCTCACGCACGCACGGCCGTTCTTAATAATCAGTGTCACTACCTAAACTTCAACGCCATGCAGCGAGTCGCCCAAATCCAAGAGCGGGAGATCCATAAAGTCCTCTTTCCAAGTGCGTCTATCTCCGATCGTCGTTACCAGATCTAACAGCCGTCCAGCTGTTGGGAGCTTCTTACCTTTGCTTGAGGCAAAAAAAGAAGCTATCTTAAAGACGCCTAAGAGAACCTTTGCATATGGACCTACACCTCGGCACAAGGTATAAAATTCCGGTCAAATTATGCTTTCTGTGTGTTGAAACCTGTCAGTTGGACATATACTACCCGCCAGAGTCTTCCTTGGAGGGGCAAACGAAGATCTTGGTCTTTTGTTACGGAGGTGGCTTCACCTCTGGCTCACGCACGCTTCCCGCGCCCGCTGAGCTCGCCTATGGAAATCTGGGGATGCACTTCTCCCGACAAGGCTTCATCACCATCATTCCCGATTACAGACTCTCCCCAGAGGTAAAGCATCCCGAACAAGCTACCGATATTCGAGATGCGTTGTTGTGGGTCGTCGAGAACCCTCAGAGTCTTCTTTTCAATGGTGTGACGAACCCAGACATAGATTCCTTCTATGTCATGGGACATTCCGCCGGGGCCGTTAATGTCTTCACCATGCTGGCGTTGCCAGAGCTTTACTCAGACGTTCTTCATCCCAAAATCGGAGGCGTCATCCTTTTCTCTGCAGCGTATACATATGACGCCACCAATCTCCGCACCGTTCAGGCTGGTACCGTGAAGGAATACTTTGGAGGAGATGCCACCTCCAAATTGCCTTTGTCGCTCCTTCAAGCCGCAGACGCAAACCGTGTGGCGTCATTTCCACGAATCCTTCTTGGAGTGTCACAAAGAGATCCCCAGTCTTTCCTGGATGGGTCAAAGATATTCTCAGACGCACTTGTCGCTCGTGGGGTGAAGCACGAGGAGTTCATCGCCCAAGGTCATAATCACATCAGCGTAACGTTCTGTCTGGGAACCGGCGAAGGCGAGGATTGGGCGGCCGATGTGGCGAGGTGGATTTCGAGTACGGCTTGACTTGATATCGTTATTTAGAGTACTAAAGGCAGTTGTAACTTGTATCAACCGGGGTAGAGAACGATCTCAGGGGTAAATTTAAGTTGTCACCACGTGACCCTGAATCTGCTCTTTGCGACCGAACTATCTGCGCCTTTGGCTCTAAATATCTTTGACGGAGTCTTTGTCTTAGCGTTGGGCCGGCAATTACACTCTACCGTTGGTCTCAAAACAGTACCCCATTTCCGATTAGCCAAAGGCTCCAGGTTGCTCGCTGGTCAAAGCCGGCCTTTTGTTCGCCACTTGCTGCGACGCCTTGGACTTCCATCGTGCAAAGGGTTCCCACACATTGCTTAATTTGACCGGAGATAGGCACCGCAACATAACCATCAATGTACCATACAATCTATTGACAAATGGAGGACGCCTTCCTTTGTCTCTGTGGCCGACCATGAGTTCGTCTATAAAACTGACCAAACAAGCGCCCTCCGAATATCCATTTCCTAGCTATGTCTCGCTCTTCGTCGTCGAAAGACCAGTCTCTTCCGTTCTACATGAACGTCGACGTCGTTCAAAGCCCCCGCTCGCCTGGAGGAAGCGCATCGACTCCCGGCCGCTCGTGGGGCTCCGCTTCCGGAGTTTCTGCGTACCCAAATGTTCGTGCTATCGTAAGTGTCTCTTTTCTTTAGCTCTTACAGCGCGTTTATTGATGGACATACAGCTTCCACCGAAAACCCAACCAGGATTAAGAACTTGCCATATATGCAACGAGGAGGTATTGCATATGAGGGGGCATGTTCTCGAACACAACAGACGGCCTGACGGGTACGAATTACGACTCTTCGCCTCTGTAGCAGCGCGCTGACCTTGTGGCATTGAAAAGGATTTATTACTGTCCGATATGTTCCTTCCGCACTCCGCTGTCCGGTGAAAACACTCGACACGCGGAGGAACAGTAAGAGGTTCATTAAAACACATTTAACGAGCAGCTGAAACCTATACTTTAGTGAAAAATACGAGAAAGCTCTGAAGAAGCGACGCGACGCTGAATCTTCTGGCGGTTGGTCGTCGAAACGACCTGGAAAAACGTCTCAAGCCCAGCCACAAACGAGCGAGGCTCCGTCGTCGTCGCCCTCGAAAACTCGACGGTCTGGACAAAAGCCGCCCGAGGCGTCCAATGTCACGTTCATCTCCTCGACCAACGTCGCATCAGCAGCTATGGCGGCGGCGCTCCCGCCGCTCAGCCACACGCCAGGACCTCCCGGCAGCTCGTATTCCAATTCCGCCACGACGCTCCCCTCCATTCGATCCTTCTCGTGGTACCACCACCCCCAAGATCAGCGGGAGCCTGAACAGCTTGACAGAGCGAGCCTAAGACTTCCCCCGATTAGCGATTTAACGAGGCGCCGCTGAGGGAACCGGATTTGGAACTAGAACAAAGCAAGGGCATATTTTACTACTTATATCACCATGCACCCGGACATTCATGACACCCACCATTAATACATTGTTGCTATCCTAGTAATTCAATGTGAAGATTTGCGCCTGAACCTCGCACCCACTCTGAACTCATGTGGATCGGCCTGGTATGAGGCAAATACTGCAATGGGGGCAAATTTCTCTTATATCATTGATCTAATCACTGGCAATGAACGTTAATGAACCGATATCGGGTTCACCTCGGAAAGTAAGTTCACCAACGAAGTGTAGAAGACTTTCAAGTTGATTCTGAGGAGCTATTTATACTGATATGAAACAACACCGCATCTGTTTAACCGACTTTAGCTCAGTTGGAAGAGCGTCAGACTGTAAAGGATATCTGTCATCTGAATGTCGCCTGTTCGAACCAGGCAAGTCGGATATGTTAACTTGTGTCTTCTTTTTTCGCAAGTTATGGGTGGCGCAGTAGGGTGGTGCAGTAAACCTCCGGGGGTGTTAGTAACGGTATTGATACCGACCCCCGGGAGGCCTTAGTTTTGAAACCGTTTCTAATGGTTTCGATACCGGTACGTGATTGTCACCACGTGATGTGGCGCAGCGGTGCGCCGCCCTCATCCCGCCCTTGGGCCTTGTCCCGCCACTCTCAGCTTCTCTGAACGCCAGCGCGTCGTCACGTGAAGCGATCACGTGCCGGTATCCGGTATCGAAACCTACCTCCCGACCCCCGACAGTTTCAATACCGTATCAATACCGTTAATAACCGCAGTAAACCCGAGGTGTATCAAAACCTAGGGTTTACTGCGCCTGGACCAGGCGCAGTAAACCTCCCGGCTCTGGTGTTACGTGTAGTTACTAGTAACGCCGAACGGTATCTGGTTTACAGTGGTTTTGAAACCGTTGGTAACGGTTTGTTCGGTTTCTATGACAGCACGTGTTTTGGACAGTGGGGCGCCGTAGGGTGGCGCAGCCGCCGCGCCGCCCTCCTCCCGCCGTTGTTCCGCCACTCTCAGAGTGCTGGTAACTGTGTTCTTCTGCATGACAGTCGGATGCGGTTATCCTTTGCCCTTTCTAAAACCTCGTCATTTGTTCAATTATGTTCAGGTTTGATACCAATTAGTTACCGGCATACATCAAAATCGTGTACAACTCTAGAGCAAAGCCATAGTGAGAAGTCCATCCAAGTAGGCATCATTCCGTCACAACTCACATCTAGCATTGACACTACATGTACGGTGGATCACACCACTCCGTCAACAACCTCAGGCACCTTCCACGCCTCAATGACCAGCTCCGCCTCCTTCTCAATAACCTCATACGCCTTCCTTATATGCGCCTCCTCTGTCAAGGCCGCTCCCACCGCAAACCTCACACAATACACATCATTCAACATCGTCTGCGTCAGGTAAATATCCGTCCGCGCCGAGATCCTCGCAAAGAACATCCTATTCAAGTTGTTCAGCTCCGCCAGCCCTCCCTCCCGCGGGCAAAGGCGGAACACGGAGAGCGTAAAGCTCGGGGGCGTAACGAGCTTGATGACGGGGGACTTTTCTACGAGGGAGACGAATATGCGGTTGAGGGCGATGCCTTTGCGGATGTGCGCCTGGAAGCCGGAGACGCCGAAGCTGCGGAGGACGAACCAGAACTTGAGCGAGCGGAAGCGCCGCCCGAGGGCGAGGTGCCAGTTGCGGTAGTCGATGACGGTGCCGGCGTCGCCTTGCTTGGTGCGCAGGAAGGGTGGCGTGATGTCGAGGGCCTCGGTGAGGTACTTGCGGTCGCGCACCCAGAGCGTCGAGGCGTCAAAGTTGATTAGACCCCACTAGGAGGAAATGTCAGTCACAGGCGAGACTATGAGAAGAATGGCAAAACCTTGTGGAAATTAGTACAGAAAGAATCGGCGAACTCGTTTATTTCGTCTAGAAAGCAGTCTTGGCGGTATTCTGGGCAGCTGAGTGCGACGCCTGCCCAGGCAGCATCGACGTGGACACGAAGGTACGGATGTTCTTTGACTAAACTCCGCAATTAGACGAGAAGACGCGGGCTTACTGTCAAAGTGAACATACCGACTTGCTTAATCTCTGGAAGATTGTCGATAGCTCCAGAAGAAGTGGTGCCCACAGTCACAACTACCACGGATGAGTTTGGCGTAGATGCTGTATATGTGGATACCCACTGAGAATGAACGGTTTCTTCCCAAGCTGCGCGTCTTCTTCGAGCGCGGTTCTCAACGTGTGGCCACGTAATGAAAAGTTGTCTTCTTCCTTCACTGGAAGGATACGGCACGATAGACCGAGAACCATAGCAGCCTTGACACCAAGGGAATGTGTCTGGGAGGTGGCATAGAGTACGAGATCCTCCATCTTCGTATCTGGATGCATCCTCTGGTACGACGAACGCGCCGCGACGCATGCAATAAGCGCAGAGTCTGATGCAGTGACTTGGATGCATCCTCCTCCGATACCAGAGGTGTTGAGGAAATCGGGAGAGAGTCCGAGGAGCTTGGCGGACCAGTCCATGACGATCATTTCGAGTTCGGTGCATGCCGGGCTAGCAGCCCACTGAACGAAGATGAATACATGGGCAGCGGGTGGTCAGGCGGATAATACTCACGTTGAATCCAGGGTTTACAACAGCGGTAGAGTAGAGATCACCAAGGATGCCCTCGAAAGTACAGGAAGTGGGAAAGTACGCGAAGAAGGAAGGGTGTGTCCAATGTGTCAAGCCTACAACAACGAAGTGAATACAATCTTGTTGGAGGTTGACAGGTCCACATACCTGGGACTATAAGTTTCTGGTAGTCGTCGGCGATTATTTGAAAGTCCTCTCCAGATTGTGGGGCTGAAGCTATTCAAACGGATGGTGAGCCGGATCCAAAGGATGGCGTTGACAGTCGCGCATACATGGTACGAGACTCTGCAGATAACCAGGTTCGACGCTTGGGAGAACTGGCTTGTCCTGCAGCGAGTAGTAATATTCGCATATTCTATCTATGGCCTGGTAGCCGGCCTTGCGAAATCTGGTTTGTTCGTCAGTGAACAGACAGCGGGATGAGCGGACGATAACGCACTGCTCGATATCCATCACAATGAGGAGATTAAGGAGAGCACACGTACTCGGTCCTAGCAGACCCAGTCTCCATCTCCATCTGTCGCCATCGGCACGCGCTACAAATTTTTCGGTCCTATCGGAACACCGTCTGGCAGTGTCCCCACGATGTCAGTCGATGTCGAGCCCGTGGAACAATTGCAGCAGGCAGGGACCACCCATCTGCAGGGTTCAGCATTCGCGCTACAGCTTCGCGTGAGCTCGGGTGTTCGGACAACGTACATACTGGTCCGAGTCCATCGGAATTCGCTCACCGCTGCTCGCCGCTCCTATCCCGCCGCGCTGGACCCCACTATCCCGAGGCATTTGGTACTGGTGGTCTGCCAATCTGTACATGTTAGTACTTAATAATAATACATCCCGCTGCATTGAAACCCATTTGAGTAACTTGTAAGACTGAAAGCCTACAAATGCTCATTAAGAGCTACAAACGAGTTCATTTTGTTTACAACTTCATTGGTATTGACATTATTACACTCTTCGTTGGTTTGTTTGGTTCATAGCCCACTATTGCTTGACTCGTCGAGTTGTGCGCTCTGTACTGCAGTAACTCACTCGGGACATTGGGCGGAACGGCGCGCCCGACGCATCACGCTATGAACTCCGATTTTGTTCCTGCAGCTGCCGTTCTGGTTTGCAGCTGTGCATAATCGATGGGCTCGAAGCGCTGTCATCGTTGTACGCGGGAAAACGGCATGAAGCGCGTTATTGGGGATGATGGTATAAAGTTGAATAGCCGGTCTGACCTGGGTCTGACGTCGCGAATATATCTTATTCGGATCCCTGCATCCCCAACTCTCTTCACTACCACCATGGACGTCATTCAAAAAGTCGCCCAGCACGGAGCTGAGCTCGGTGAGCGCGATATGGAACCTTCCAGGCCTCGCTCATAACGTTGTAGTGCGCAGTCAACCTCTGCCAGTCACTGTTCTCGCTGGCCTGGGTGCTCTCAACGTTCTCCGGCTGTTCATACAGGGGACTGTGTTCTTCCTGCAGACCTTTATCCTTTCCGGGCAAAATGTGAGCGGCTACACTGTGTCAAAGATCCGCGTTCATTTATCATTTGCAGATAAAACGCTTTGGCGCGAAAAAGGGCGCATGGGCGGTCGTCACTGGCGCGTCGGACGGCATCGGAAAGGAGTTTGCGTTCCAACTGGCTAAAGCTGGATACAACGTCCTGCTTGTTGCGCGCAATCAGACTGTCCTGGACTCTACGGCTGCTGAAATAAGTGCGTATTTGAACACAGTGTAAGTAGTTGAACTTACCCTTCATGTAGCTTCCAAATATTCCTCTGTTAAGACCCAAACTCTCGCTATGGACTTTTCAGTCAACGATGATTCCGCATATGCTAACCTTTCTGCGGTCATCTCAAGCCTGGATGTTGGTGTTTTGGGTAAGCCACCTTTATTTGGGGGTAAGGCCTAGTCTTGACTTGAATTGTAGTCAACAACGTCGGCAAGTCCCACAACATGCCCGTCAACTTTGTCGAGACTCCCAAGGACGAGCTAGAGGGTATCGTCGCCATCAACGTAAACGCGACTCTACGCGTCACATACACGATTCTCCCAGGCATGATTCAGCGGAAACGCGGTCTCATCCTTAATATCGGCTCCTTCGCCGGCCATGTCCCTTCTCCCATGCTCGCAACCTATTCCGGCACCAAAGCCTTCCTCGCCACATTTACCGCAGCCTTGGCCGCCGAAGTCAAGTCCCACAATATCACCGTCGAGCACGTCAATACCTACTTTGTCGTCTCCAAGCTCTCCAAAATCCGCAAGCCCTCTGTGCTTATTCCTCTGCCCGGTCCTTTCGTCAGGTCTGTGCTTGGGAAGATCGGTATGGCATGCGGTGCGTTGGGCAGCAGCAGACCTGGGACGTCGACGCCGTACTGGAGCCATGCTCTCATGGATTATGCCATGACTCTCATAGGCACACCCAAGTTGTTCATCAGCTATACCCACAACTTGCACAAAGATATCAGGAGGAGAGCTTTGAGAAAGGCGGAGAGGGAAGCGAAGAAACTCTAATAGTGCTTGGTGTGTATCGTTATGCTGAATCATATCTGTAGAGTCCCACACTGAGCACTGGATTCTACAAGTACAGCAGCTTTTGTCAATTATGTCGGCATACACTCCTCTTCTCCTCACTGTTAAATGATCTGAAAATGGCCAACACAAGGAAAAACTGTGACATCCTTATAGCCAGTACCAGTCTTAACCTCGAACTACCCAGTTACCCTGGTACCAGCGGCTTCCAAAGTCCTTTGGTTTCAAAATAATGGCCACTCTATGCATAACCGCCAGATATCAATGCCAGA